AAGATCAATCAGACTTCAGTTAAAGTATACTATTTTGAAGCTTTTGATTAGTACATTTGATTTTTATCACAAAGAATAGAATTTTTTCACTGAGAACAATACTGTGTTGAGAAAAGTGCTGAGTCATCATAATAAGTCAAATTGATGAGTACTGATATAAAACTTTATTCTAGGATTTCAATATTAACTATATTGTATAAAATGCATCAAACTATAGTTCTTTTGTATTTTTTTTCACCTTTCGCAATGATTAATTCGATTGGAAACTTCAGAATTCAAGTCGCGACAAATATTTTTAACTGAAATATTTGCCTTTTTTGCTGTGTAATTCCCTAAATGTATCACTTGGGTATTTCTGTAGGCATAATCTATTAAAATGGGAACTTGTCTGGTTAAGTTTGTACTGTTTATGGAGTAAGGCAATATTTGGTCATACTAGTAGCATTTTCAGTGTTAAAATTGTCCATCTAAGAAAAAAAGAGGCCCACTTGAGGCTAAATTTAGATAGAATTTATACTCTCCTGTGTAAAGAATTGGTCACATTCTTGGCAATTCATGCAGCAAATATTTCAGTAGTGCTTCATTTTGTAGTTTCTATCTTTTATTATATCAGGCATATATATTTTTTCATTTTCTACTATTTGAAATGACTTTTGTTGGAAATTAATACTCCCAAGGGACATAATTCAGCTTTTTCACAGATTAATACAGGCAACAAAGGCAACTTTACAGCTGAGTATTTTGCATATTTAATGTTTAAAGTGTTTAATATCTTTGTTTTCATCATCTCAAGACAGAAAAATGGATTTTATAACAAGCTCTGAAATTTTGAACCACAATATGGCATATACTAAAGCATGGAATGGAGATTAGTATGAAAAATCTTGAGTTTGTGCCTATGTTGTAAATTTTGGATAAAATGAATACACATTGAATGGAACTGTCATTTTTATCTGTTTAAATGGAACTGTATATTATTCTTTTTAAATAAGATAAGATATGATTGGATACAGGTTGTTTATTAAGCCTTATCTGAAAGAAGTAGAGAAAGAGGTAAACCAGCATGTAGGGGTGGGGACATTAAATGATCCATGTTTCTTTAAGTAATGGGAACATACAAGTATTTATTATAGCCAAGGTTTTCACAATAACCCAGTATTGCATTAATGGTGTCATAAGAATTCTTTATATCTTTATGTCACAGTATAGGGAAAACGGTACTATTATATTTTCCCAGCATTAGGTTGGCCTTTTGTGTACCCAAGGCAGGTGAAGGAAGTCAACTTTGGAACGCTGTGATTGGATGTTAGGGTACAATATATTTTTTTTATTTATCTATGAATAACTGCAGGGTGTATATTTACAATATAAATTTTGAAACCTATTGAAATATTTTCTAGAGAATTATTCGAAAAGACTTCAAAAATTTCATAAATTTGGTGTAAAATGACGGTGGGCATGGATAACATTAACAAGCTCCGTTGGAAGTTGGTCATGATACTATTTGGCTTCAATTTTTAAAACAGAATAATAAAGTACTAACACTACACATAACTGTTTTATCCGGGTTTTTATTATAAAAAGTGGTAAATTTAGAAAATGTTAGTATTGTCGCCTATGGCAGAATAAATAGTACCGTTTTCCCTATACTGAAGATAGCAAGGGAAATCAAGATCAATCAGACTTCAGTTAAAGTATACTATTTTGAAGCTTTTGATTAGTACATTTGATTTTTATCACAAAGAATAGAATTTTTTCACTGAGAACAATACTGTGTTGAGAAAAGTGCTGAGTCATCATAATAAGTCAAATTGATGAGTACTGATATAAAACTTTATTCTAGGATTTCAATATTAACTATATTGTATAAAATGCATCAAACTATAGTTCTTTTGTATTTTTTTTCACCTTTCGCAATGATTAATTCGATTGGAAACTTCAGAATTCAAGTCGCGACAAATATTTTTAACTGAAATATTTGCCTTTTTTGCTGTGTAATTCCCTAAATGTATCACTTGGGTATTTCTGTAGGCATAATCTATTAAAATGGGAACTTGTCTGGTTAAGTTTGTACTGTTTATGGAGTAAGGCAATATTTGGTCATACTAGTAGCATTTTCAGTGTTAAAATTGTCCATCTAAGAAAAAAAGAGGCCCACTTGAGGCTAAATTTAGATAGAATTTATACTCTCCTGTGTAAAGAATTGGTCACATTCTTGGCAATTCATGCAGCAAATATTTCAGTAGTGCTTCATTTTGTAGTTTCTATCTTTTATTATATCAGGCATATATATTTTTTCATTTTCTACTATTTGAAATGACTTTTGTTGGAAATTAATACTCCCAAGGGACATAATTCAGCTTTTTCACAGATTAATACAGGCAACAAAGGCAACTTTACAGCTGAGTATTTTGCATATTTAATGTTTAAAGTGTTTAATATCTTTGTTTTCATCATCTCAAGACAGAAAAATGGATTTTATAACAAGCTCTGAAATTTTGAACCACAATATGGCATATACTAAAGCATGGAATGGAGATTAGTATGAAAAATCTTGAGTTTGTGCCTATGTTGTAAATTTTGGATAAAATGAATACACATTGAATGGAACTGTCATTTTTATCTGTTTAAATGGAACTGTTTATTATTCTTTTTAAATAAGATAAGATATGATTGGATACAGGTTGTTTATTAAGCCTTATCTGAAAGAAGTAGAGAAAGAGGTAAACCAGCATGTAGGGGTGGGGACATTAAATGATCCATGTTTCTTTAAGTAATGGGAACATACAAGTATTTATTATAGCCAAGGTTTTCACAATAACCCAGTATTGCATTAATGGTGTCATAAGAATTCTTTATATCTTTATGTCACAGTATAGGGAAAACGGTACTATTATATTTTCCCAGCATTAGGTTGGCCTTTTGTGTACCCAAGGCAGGTGAAGGAAGTCAACTTTGGAGCGCTGTGATTGGATGTTAGGGTACAATATATTTTTTTTATTTATCTATGAATAACTGCAGGGTGTATATTTACAATATAAATTTTGAAACCTATTGAAATATTTTCTAGAGAATTATTCGAAAAGACTTCAAAAATTTCATAAATTTGGTGTAAAATGACGGTGGGCATGGATAACATTAACAAGCTCCGTTGGAAGTTGGTCATGATACTATTTGGCTTCAATTTTTAAAACAGAATAATAAAGTACTAACACTACACATAACTGTTTTATCCGGGTTTTTATTATAAAAAGTGGTAAATTTAGAAAATGTTAGTATTGTCGCCTATGGCAGAATAAATAGTACCGTTTTCCCTATAGGTTAATAAAATAGAAACACGATGAAGCAAAAAAAAAAAAAAAAAAACAGGTTCGGTATATAGCAATAGACATATGACTATACAGTACGTCAAGACCGATGATGATAAAAACCTAAGATTTAATATTTGAGTTGATCATTGTGTCGTTTTCATTATCGCATATTGCTTTTAATAATTTATTTACTGCTTGATGCTCTCTTTTTACTTTAATAATTTCATTTTTACTGTTTTTCAGTTCTTATTCTTCATTGATTACAATTTTACATGTCTTTATAAAGAAAAAAAAATTTCATAATCTTATTGCACAAACAATATTGGGGAAAAGAAAATCGTAATTAAATATTGTTTCCACATATTATTTGAGATTTTTCATATATTGAGTTCCGATTCGTACAAGGTTTATAAACTCTTACAAATAATAATTTTGCATATGCATTTAGTCGGCTATCAGTTATTTCGTGAAATTAATCGCAAAAATTCTGGTTTGTGTGTTGATCATTTACGTTTACCAAAGCATCTACAATGTATTTGGCCTTGATCTAGTTGATACAACATAGAAAACTAAAGACTGAGCAACACGAACCCCGCAAGAAACTGGGGGTGATCTCAGATGCTCCGGAAGGGTGAGCAGATTCTGCACCACACGTGACACCCCTTTTAAACGTTTTCATCACAATGAGGATAATTATTATGACACATTTCCTAATTTTCCTTGCATTTTGTCTTGAGGAAAAAACGAGCAAATTCACGAAATTATCAATGTTTCAAGTGAAAATGATTTATCCCCAACTACCATTTGTACTAGATACACTAGATTCGGGTTTGCCTGTGTTATTTTCAAATCTCTGAAGTAATAATGAAAAACTAGGAAATGACCCAAAGTATACACGTGTATTTATGTATTTCTTGATATGAAACTCATAGAATGTAGATATTTCTCTATTTCCTTTTTCACCCCACTTAACATTATATTGTTTTAACAGGTTATGGATCTTAGTTGTTCACTTCAAATAAAACTGATTGGTGTTCTCGTTTGATTTGTGTCACGCGTGGTCGTGTTGCAATTTTCCTTAACTATTTTATACTGTTTTTTGATAATTACTAAAATCCATTTGGTAACCTCTATATGTAAACATTCATGCTGGTTTGTCTCTGGTAGATAGTTTTGTATTTGCAAAATTACCAAATCACGTTATTTTTTTATGCTATATTTGTACCACATTTGATACCAATTACGGGTCTCAAGGCCACTACTGCTTTCATTGTTTTGCTTTATGTATGAACTAAGCTTACGGTTACATTGTTTAAATTAGTTTTGGTGGTACACTACATTTTTACTATGTTGGCAAAGAATGAATATGAAATGATGTTGTTATTGGTGCTATTCATCATATGATGTGATAAATAGAAAAATAGAAAATCGGAAGTGTTGATAACTTTTTTCAAGAATAGACGACTGATATTGTCAATTCAAAGCCAAAGGAATTGTCAATGCAAATATATCCTTACTGCTTCATTTGTTTTGGTAAAGCTTAAAATAGATACATTTCGAGCTTCCAGCTCAAACACGTTTAAAACGGTTTTTAATTGTAAGTTGCATGTTCCTGTTTACTACGTAAATGACAGGAAATTTTCCTCTTGACCTATTTTAAAAACATACAATAATTTTTAAATTTGATACCCATTTTGTTTATTTTCAGATGCATTTTTACTATTTTATTGACCGTAGCAGAAGAATGGCAAACCAAATTATATTTCATTGTATCACTCTTGTGTTTATTGCAAATGAAAATGTTATGACTTCGAACCTGACAGTTCCTTGTAAGTTTGAGAAACTTTGTTCATGTTCATTTACAACGCAAAAAATGTTAAAAGCCGACTGTAGTGGAGAAAGTCTGGATAATATTCCAACAAACCTTCCTTCCGATTTGACAAACATATCATTAGCACGAAACTTAATTTCTAAGATTAAAAATGGGACATTTGAAGCGAACATACATCTTCTCTACTTGGATTTGTCATCTAATTACATTAATGAGCTGCATTCAAGATCATTTCAAGGTCTTTCGAAACTGGAGACTTTAATTATCAGTAGTAACCGCATAGACCCTTCCGCTATTTCTATGGCCGTCTTCAAGCCATTAAAAGCCTTGCTGCACCTTGCGATAAAACAAAAGTTCATAGACCCGTTTTCGCTCAATGTTTCTTCGTTGGTACAGCTCAACACTCTAAAGATCGATGCTGTATCTCATGGCAAGGATCCATTTGATGTTAAATATGCACATCTTCGTTTCCTACAAGAAGTGGACGTGTCTGGATTCTCGGGATACTGTAAGATGACAGTTCTTATGCCAAATACGTTTAAATATATTCCTTATGTTAAACGGCTAGATTTGAGCAAGTGTGGTATCAATGCGATTTTGAGCGGAACATTTAGAGGTCTGGTTTATTTGAAGTATCTTGATTTGTCTGACAATAGATGTCTTAAATTCAAAGGACTTGCAAACGTCACATATGATCTGCCGTCAACTTCATTAGAAATTTTACGAATCAACAAAATCCATCAAACTTTTGATCTGAATACAATAATGACTACGTGTGAGATAAAGCCTCTTAGACGTACCAATATAACACAGATATACCTTAACAGCAATCGGATGCAGTTACTCGAAGAGGGTGCAATGGAATTTTTTCCTAAAACTCTAAAAATATTGTCAATTGCTGACAATGAATTTAGTTTTGCTGGACGATACATTGGTGATTTGTTTGAATTGACAGTACATGAAGTAAATATGTCTTATTTGGGAATGTCACATTTCTTGAAGAACTTTGAAGAATCCTGTGATCATACACTCGTAACTCCTTCACGTTGCAATAACAACCCTGATGTGTACAAGAAAGTTGCATTCAAAGGACCCAATTTGAACAATGATACAAGCTACACCTTTTTCGGTTCGTTTGGTGATGAAATAGTTTGGATTCCCAGTCAATTAAGGAAATTGCACTTGAGAGAATGCAAGTTACGGTACTATCTTCCTGATATTACGTTTTCAGATAATTTGTTGGAGTACGCCGACTTTTCTTCCAACACCTTTTATGACTGGCAGGGTCCACTCGGAAATCTTAATCAGTTGAAATTCTTTAACTTATCAAATAACTATTGTTCCAAAGTATCTGCCAGATTCTTTACAGGCATGCCAAACCTTACAACCCTTTTAGTGCAAAACAATCTATTAGGATTTGTTTTACCGGGCGATATTAGCGGAGAGATACTAGCACCACTTACTAAACTTGAGGTTCTAGATTTGTCTGACAATAGAATTACAAGCTTGCCATCAGTGTTCTTTAATGCCCAAATACAACTACGAACACTAAACTTGAGCGGGAATTTACTTGAAACTGCTACTTTTGAAATAATACAAATGACCAAACTTTCACATTTAGACATATCAAATAATAGATTGTCCGTTCTGGGCACATTTTTCACAAAACAGTTAGATCAACTCTCAGAAATTGTTCCTGACTTGACTGTTAAATTATCGGGTAATCCCATTAAATGCATATGCGAAACAATTGAGTTTATTCAGTGGTTGTCAATTACAAAGATTCATGTTCAAAACTTGTTGCACCAAGATTGCCGATCTCTTCAAATGCATCTGAATAGTTCAAAAGTCATTTACGAATATTTAAAGAAGAAATGCTCCTCATATACGACAACAATTGTCGCTGTTGGATCATGGGTAGCCATTTTTGCATTTGTCATAATTGCTGGAATTATTTATCGCTACAGATGGAAGCTTCGTTATGCATATTATATAGTGAAAGGCAAACATCATGGTCAAATCAAACCTCTTAGAACATATGATGATTTCCAGTATGATGCATTCGTTTCTTACGCCGACGAAGATGAGACGTTTGTTCATAGGAAGTTCCTAAAAAAATTAGAAGACGATCGAAATATTAGTTGTTGTGTGCACAAACGAGACTTTTTGGCCGGAAATGATATCGCAACAAATATAACATCCGCCATTCATAACAGCCGTAAAACAGTCGTAATATTGTCGCATCATTTCTTACAATCTGATTGGTGTCTATTTGAATTTAATATGGCAAAAATGGAGAGTATCTACTCAAGAAGTAAAGAAAACATTATATTACTTGTGTTCCTTGAACAAATATCATCTAAAGATCTACCATTGAATATTTTGGAACTTATCCAATCAAAATCGTACATTGAGTATCCGAACGACGAATACGGGGATGTCGTGTTTTGGGATAAACTCAAGGAGACATTGTCAGTCTAATGACTCGTGAGCATATGGCATTTACCGAATACACTTGTTGACTGTAATTGTGTTATTGGGACTTTGTATTTAAAACAAAAATGGGCGTCTGGAAACTACTTTGCCTGGTGAAGTTGTAAATCTGGTAGGCTGGTTCTCTCCCTTGCAACATCTGAGACACCCTTGTAAAAGGACAGGGAACCAGTCTATAAATCTTGTATTTGAACAAAAAAAAATGAAAATTGATATGCTTAGAATATCTTAAATGTTATAAATGTCGATATATTGAGTACTTGTAAGATGGAGCTGAGAATGTAATGATAAATATGTTGTCAAAATGTAGGAACTAGACTATATATATGTACAAATATGTTTTTTTAATTCTTAAATTGTTAACTCTAAAGCAAATTATATAATGATATTAAATATTACTTGTATAGTAAGGCTACTGTGTAAACTGATCGATGAGCTTTTGTTCAGTTTTCAAATCATTTCTTGCTTATTCAGATGTTAATACTTCCTTCTGTCAAGTTTCCTTGTAGCGATTTCGTCCTCTGTATAAGCAACTCTGGATGTGATATTTTTGGGGGTTGAAAATAAAATAAAACGAGAGTAAAAACGAACATACTTTACAGGAAAGGCAATACGTAACCGGAAATAATGGGGAGACTGACAAAACGAGGCAAACCGAAATTACAATTGACAAAGACCAGTAAATAGACTCCATCATCTCTAGCGCTGGACTTTATTTCTTCAGCACTTGAGATGAAAATCCATTGCTGGACTTTTTATCTCAAGCGCTGAACTTTCAATCGTCATCGCTGGAATTTGTATCTTCAGTGCTGGGCTTTGCATCTTTAAACTGGAAATAACATCTTCAGCGTTTATGTTTTCAGCGCTTGAGTTTACATCTTCAGCTCTTGACTTTACCTCTCCTTTTTTTAATCTTTAGTGCATGAATATATATTTTCAGTGTGGAGTTAAATCTTCAGTACTAGATTTGTAAGATGTATCAAGTGGATTTTATCTGACCAACACTTGAATTTATATCTCTAGCACTAGAGCTCACATCTCTTGTGCTGGCCTTTGTATCTTCAGCGCTTGACTTTAAATCCGCAGCGCTAAAGTTGAAATTCCTAGCGCGAGACTTTAAATATCAGCGCATGGCCTTATATTTTCAGCGCTTGATGATACAGTCAGTGTTAGATTTGTAATTTATCTCAAGTGCTGGCTTTCTTATCAGCAGTTTTTAAGTTAACATTCAATACTAGAGTTTGTATCCTCAGCTCGGGAGTTTACATCATCCGCACTGTAGTTTTCATAACTTGTGCTGTACTTTTATCTTCCGCGTTGGACTTTATATCACCAGCGCTTGACTTAAAAAAAACATACAAATATCTATTTGTATGAGACTAACGTGGTCTCGATCATTTGCCAGCACTGCGATTCGAACACAGTCGGTGAGGAGTGTCATTATTTGTGTGTATGTGCTAGCAAACAAATAGCACCAATAGAGAAAAATATATACCTATATATTATACCAAAATATACATCTAAGTTAAAAGTAATGGGGTTATTTTCATATTGTAAGGTTTTTAAGGCGTATTAAAAAGATATTGTTTGTTTCTTCTTAGAAATGGAAATACCATGTTTTTCACATTGTAAATTTATGTATAGATGAGTATCATTTAATTGTTGTATACCGTTTTTTTTTTTATAATATACTTTATTGTTGATATATCCATCCATATTTGTAAAGCAAAGTAATACAATGTTTTAATTGATAATATTAAAAAGGTCGCCCAAATTTTAGAAAGTTTGTCTCATTCTCAAACTTAAAAGTATTTTGATTCCCGATAAAGATATATTGTCCAGTGTTGTTGACTATAAAAAGCTATCTGCATTATTGCTAAAAAGCGGTCCACATTGGTCAATTATATATACTAATGAATTGATAACATATATGTTTTTCTCGTGTTGTATTTAAATATTCTGTTTTTGTATTTCTTAACCAGTTATGATTTCGTTTATGCAATAAAGTTATTTCTCTTATTCTGCAGCATTTTAACCGGTTCTAACATGTTTGATAAATTTTGATGCACCACACGTTGGTTAAATTTGTCGCGTATAATTTCCCGCCATGTCTATACGGAACATTTCACTTGGCATTTTTCTTTAAATCATTAGAGAAAAAAGTAAAATAACAAAAATACCGAACTCCAAGGAAAATTCAAAACGGAAAGTCCTTTATCAAATGGCAAAATCAAAAGCTCAAACACATCAAACGAATGGAAAACAACTGTCATGTTCCTGACTTGGTACATATACAGCCATTTCCTTATGTAGAAAATGGCAGTTCCTTATGGAGAAACAGATGCTAACACTTTTAATTACTCAATTGATAACAATATTTATCCACTATTAATAATTAAATTTTCAAATTCCAACTTCTTGACTGGATAAATATCGTAGTCAACGGGGGGATGGGGAAGAATCTGTATTCATAATAAATTCAGTAGAAGTATCAACCTTTAAATTCGAAATTGCACTTAACTAAAACATGATACGAAGTGAGCGATACTAAATACTTGTTGTCAATTTTTAATCAATTTATCTTTCTAAAATGACTTAACAATTATGGTCATTTGCATCAATATTCAAATTTGATGAAATTTATACATTCAAATTACCCTGTAATAAAAAGACAGGTTTTCTTCTAACATATGGTTATTTTAAGTACTCAGTATAGGATGTCACGTGCGTCTTTTTTATTTGGCTCTGAAATGTGTTTATCGTCTGCCAGCATGTTGATCTATGAGGGAGGTGCCGAACAGTTTGTTTGAACAACATTCCAATATCTTAATTTTTCTCGATTTTTATCTGATTCAACAAATTAATTTTCATTTTTTTTTATAAAGATAAACTAAAGATTCCGCAAAAAAATATTCAGTGATTTTATTCACCCTCTATGGTCCGCAGGGGGTCAGTAGTTAACCGTATAACGAATGTATCGCCCGCGAGACTTTTTTTCCACTGTGTTTTGTAGAGAAATAAACAATAAAACACAACAACATTAATAGATGACGTCACTATTAACAGTAGACGTGACGTCATGAACCCCCTATGAAATTTACTAACCCCCTACGGATCCATAGGGGGTCACCACGTGACGGCGTTAAACCAATCACAACGTGATAATTTACCGGCGGTGCGATAAAACACTTTATAAACATGATAAAGTCCGTTCCTCCGAAGCGTTTTTCTTGATTTACCTTCATCAGGAACGCTCAAACCTAAATATTTGAAATCCTTGGATGTAAAATCACGTAGCCACGTTAGGAGCTATATGACCACAAAACAACATAAAATGGATAGCCAAATTCATCTAATGTCAAATGTCTTAAGTTATATAGGAACTTTTTTCCTATTAAAAAGATGCCATAACATTATGATACGTTTATCAAAGAGCCTGAGTGTAGACACATGCACATTCTACAGACTACACGTTGAAGTAATGCATCATCTCGCTTAGACATTCGCCGTATCAGAATCCAAAAGGTTTTGAAAATTTCAAATGTTCGCTCATCGAAATTATAATAACGAAGCTATCAGTAAACTACAGCTATGTCCGAATTAATTCTGGGTATGTTTGGTTTTTTTTTTTTGGGGGGGGGGGAATAAATTATATTTAATATTTGGGAACATCAAGGCGATCAGTCAATATATAATAAGGAGATGTGATAGGTATTATTGCCAGTTACGGGTCCAGGACGAGCATATAGAGCTTACGACCAGACCCCCCTTTTTTGATCGCCTACAAAAAGAGCTCGTGTTTCTCACGATTTACATGTTTTTTTAGCATAAAAGAGAGGCCAAAAAAATAAAGGGATAGTCAAACTCATAATCAAAAACTGACTGCCATGGCAAAAAACGAAAAAAACGACCAAAAGAAATTACACCACCCTGTTTAAAAAATCCTGGAATCACCCCTAGTTGCCAATAAGACAGCTATCCAACATAGTGCAAAAAACGTGGATGTAAGCAATTATTTATGGGTCACCGCACGGCCTTTAACAATGAGCAAAACCCATACCAGTCAGCTATAAAAGGCATGCATCGACATAACAAAATGTGAAACAACACTGACAAACGAAACACCCACAGCCCTGATTTTTGACATAACAATAAAAGGAAAACAAAAGTTTAACAGATTGCAACCAACGACAAGCACGAAGTCTTAATTACAGGCTCTTGGCGTGGGACATGTACATAAAGAATGTGGCGGGGTTAAACAAGACTGCTTTCGTATTAGTCCAAGAATTTGACTGGAATTCCCACCTTACTATCAAAATCTAGATTGTGTATATGTAGAGATTTTCAAGTAAGTGTAACATCCGTACAACAACAAGGGAGGCACACAGAAACGCCAATCACTGAAAGCCTGATTCCTGACGTTGGTTGGACACAAATAAATGCGTCTAGATGAACGAGTTAATGAAATCCTCCAACTCCTTATTCAAAGTCAATGGCAAAAGCAAGAGGTCAACAACCCCAGATCGAATACGTTCAAAGATTAAGAAAAATCAAGTCATTCATCAGATTTAATATTAGTAAATTAGTATAATGCCCAGAGTATTATAGAAGAATTCATAAACGCTTTCTGTAAGTCAACAAATTCATTTTTCCTTTAATTGATTGATTTTTGGTCTTCTAACGCAACTTTCTGCACGTATTGGCTTTTTCGTGAAGGCAGGTTTTTTTTTAGTGGATGAAGCAGAAGTGGCCGGAGAACCACCGACCATTGGCTGAAAAATTGGCAATCTTAGTCAATGAAGATTGGACTCGAACGCACCTGTCACGTGCGGGGTTCGAACTCACAACCTCAGAGTTAAAAGGTTAGTGATTGCTGTAGATGAACTACTAAGAACGCTCGGCTACCGAGGTTCTCAATTGTCCTTTAAAAATCAAGACGGACATTTATCCGATATGCTATAACATAACATATAAAAATAATTATTAGGTTTGTGCAAAACAAGAAACCGCCATTGAGTGTTGTTATCTTATTTCTTATATATTCGTTTTAACTTTGAAGTAATTTTGCTTGTTGTTTATGGGTCTCAAGATGAGGGTTTTTTCCCAAATTTTGCATTTGTAGATCACTGAACATAGAAATGTGATAATTTGAGCGGGACATGGTGGAGAGTTTGGATTGGAGGGGGGTCCTTCATTTCTCTATTCTTTAATTTTTTTATGCCATTTTTCTGTATTCTTTATACTTTTTGCCCATTATTCTCTATTCTGTAAACCCCCATCCACACCCTCATGGTGTGTTATAGATACATACTCTTGTTTCAGTATTACATTTGAATTATCAAAAATGACAAAAATATGAAATTATTTATTTTATTTGTTATTATTATTATTATTATTATTTGGAAGTTTATAAGAAAAGCTGAATCATTTTTGCAGTATTATTATTTGCGGACTTAAAAAAAACCACCTGTTTATCTGTTGCTTTTTATTTCAGCAAAACTAGTTAAGTATCATACCATCTCTTGGTTCCCCACTAAAATGAAACTTTATTAGACCAATAATTGACTTAACAACGTTCATCAAAGAAGATTTTGACGTCTCTAGTTTCAGAAACCACCTTAAATGTAGAATTACCTGTGTGGTCTTTAATGTTTAACAAAATACTGATATTTCATTGCTATCTGTTTAATTTTAATTTATTACTGTCGGTGACTTTCAAATCTTTTAATTCATCTACAAATTCACAACATAAAAGACACGTGGTTGTATAGTAATCTGTCTACAACATCATTAAACATGTATACATACATATGTATTTTAAAAACACATCTAGTATATATTACTTTGAATAAAAGGAGATGTGGGCATACATACGTCAAACAGCAACCCATCGACACAAAAACCCAAACATCTAAAGGCCTTGTTTCATTTTTTCAATAATGAATGCGGTAGTACGGAAGTTCATTAGAGCCATTCGAAAAAACTTGTTTTTATTCCTTATAACAAACTTGCATATATTATAGTTCTTTGAATAAGTTTTGTTGTTTGAATTGCAATCAACTTTGGTTCTTCAGGTAAAAGTTAATGTTGGATTGTTTTTACATCTTTTGACCTCCATGTTAATTTGTTAAGCGATCCAAACGGGGGAATTCCGCATATTTGAATTTGGTTAGATATTTGGTTAACAAAACATTCCTTTAAAACGTTTGGCAAATGAAAAATTAATACTTCATATATTTCCCTAACCATTTTAAAATTAGGCTATGACAGTTTACAAACAAAATTATTTATCGAAATATCTATAGAAACTGACATTTCATCGAAAGAAGGTCCCTCCCTTTTCCATACAGTCATTGACGTTTATTTCCATGTGCCTTCTTTAGTCTCTTTAGGCAAGACTGTTCAAAATCAAAATGTATTAACAACTGCTATATATCCGTTACCTGCAAACACATTTTGGTCTCAAATGTACATCAGAAATTTATTCCAAAAGCACGAACTGTGCTCATGTTATTTTTTTCTTTTCTTTCTTATTCTTTGATCAATACCGCTGCTGGTGTAACAAATCCATAATGTCATCACAATTCAAGTTTATCAAATTATATTATTGTACTAAACCCGTTTTTGCAGTCCAGCTTAGATCCTTTGAGTCCTTAGCTTTAAAACTTTTGACAGATTTGGTACACGTGTTGCGAGCAAAATATATTATACACTTTTTTCGTTCTTACTGAATATATCTGAAGATAGTTAATCTCAGTAATTGATACCATTTTACTCATTATATACTATTTTACACTGCGTGTTTTTTTCTTCCTTTACCGATAATGTAGAAATTATATTTCATAAGTTTAGTACTTTTTGTTCAAACTAGAGTTTATTCACCTCCCTCTGACAATATCAACCTTACTTGTCGGCTTTTTTTTGGAGGGGGGGGGGGGGGGGGGGGGGGGGGGTGGTTGAGTCGGAATTTAATTTTTGTTGAAGTTCGTTATATGCTGTGCTGTGCAAGTGCAGTAATTTGGCTTTTATGTATACTAGATGTTTGACTTGTTTTCTTTTGTTTCTTATGTTGTTGTTGTTTTTGTTCTGTGCAAGTATTCATTGTGTCGACTTTTCAGTGACATGAAATGACATATGGTATGGACACCTATGGTGCCACATGTGGAGCAGAATCTGCTTATGTTTTACGGAACCCCTGAGATCATCTCCGGTATTTTGTGGGGGTTTTGTTGCTCAGTCTTTAGTTTTCTATGTTGTGACATTTCGTCATTTTCTTATTTTGCCATGGCGTTGGCTGTTTGTTTTCGTCTTATGAGTTTGAATATCCCTTTGATATATTTCGCCTCTCTGATCGTGTACTTGTAGTCTAAACTATATACGTTGATATGGTATAAGTTACTTGTCTTTTTATTGTTTAAGACCCTATGTTGACCTCCAGATGTATTATCTTGTTCTATATATGATACTGTAGTTAGTATACATATCATTTAATGCATTAAAAAATAAAACAGGATTACTTTTGAATATTTTATTTGGATCTATCAAAGATACCAAAAAAGAAGCATTTATAATACAAAACAACATTTTAACAATTAATTGTGAATTATCATTAGCACCGTTCTAATCTTCACTCTATCAAAACACCACATTTTTGCAGTAGTTCATAATAATAATAAAATCTGTTTTTTTCTATTTACATATATGAATATTCAACCCCGACTATACAAAGAATGTGTAGGGATAAGTATCCGTCCATTTCCCGGACATATATAAATACAATTAGGAATTCAAGATGGCTGACCAAATATGAGGTACAACTAATAACTCAAAACAAAACAAGGTCATATGTTTCATACAACTAACAAAGTTTTAGAAATATCTCTGTGTATCCGTATATTATTTTGATTGTCACAAACAACAATAACCTGACCTTCATGGTCAGCACAATCTTGATACGGGTCAATAACCTGACCTTCATGGTCAGCACAATCTTGATTTGGGTCGAGGCCCTAACTGTTCATGCAGAATTATCGTATTGTTTTTTCACACTAGTTCATGACATTGACCCTGGAAAGTTCATGTTCATCATGTGTACATTTGGTGCAAGGTGTGTTGGATACGGCTGAGACGGCTGCATGTAAGTACATGACGGTAGAGATGGATGCTGAGGCGGTGATGTCCTGATACCATAACTATGGTTAACCGATGACAAGTGCCCGGATGGTTGGCGTAATGCGCAATCGCTGGTTTGACCAGAAAGACGGCATGCTTGCATCTGTTGATGGCTGATATTGTGCAGACCTAAACCTGACGATGATGGTTGTAATAAACTTGATGAAGATGATGAGACTGGCATGAACGATGTCGGAGATCTGTTGATTGATGAATGATGAGGATAGTATGCTTGGTCGCCGACACTGGAAAATGTATGACTAGAATAAGGTTTTAATGCAGAACTCATGAAGTCACAGGAATTTGGGCTGATAGCACTTTGTTGTTGTGGGCTGGTTGTCTTGTTGAGTGGAATACTTGTGTCTCCTTTGATGCGGCATGCTGTAAGATCGTTGTCATGGTTACCCTCGTGACTAGTTTCAGAAACAGAGTCATTTTCGTCGTCTGATTTGGCACGTGAGACATTAGCAGCTGGCATGGTTACCCTTTCAGGTGTTGTTTCATCTTCAGATTTTACTTTCTTTGAAGTTGGAGAATCTGTAAAACAAGGAAATTGTTATAATAAAGAAAACTATGTACATATTTTCATTTCTATCGAGTTTTAAACAGAAAGTGACACCTTGTTAGTAGTGAGTATCTATATAAATATAGTTAACATTTTGATTTATATACCAAGCATATAGGATTTAAACAGTTTTGACATTAATTTGGTTTAAAACGAAACAGAGTGGTGAAACTAACTCCACCAAGAATTAAAGATGGCAAATAACGTTATTTAATAACCCTGAGTCTGTAATTACACGAAAGTCTTTTTTTAAAAGAAAAAGAAGTTATTTTGTTCACTTAATATTCATGGAATGATAAAGAATGCATAATGCGCATTTACGGTGCACATAACTGACAAATTATGCGTTTGGTGTTACAAGATGCATAAGAAAAAAAACCATATAAAGTATGTTATAGTTCGACAGCGATGAATAGAGACATCAACTACGTAAGTTCGAATCGCATTAGATTTCGCAAAATGTATGGTATTTATAAAACATACAACCGATGCAGACGGAACAGGTGTATTGAGAGTCCTTATCACTTAGTTATGAATTAAAGAAACCGATTTATCAAACAAACATGGCAATCATATTCCATTTCTTTACATTACTATTGCAAATGGAAATCAATCGAATAAACTTATGGTTTTGTACTCTTCTCTGATGTCAATTAACCATTATTTAATTACTACACAAGAAAGAACGGAATTGATTGGCTGCTGTTCGAACTAAAGCACGTGATCTTCAGCATCTCTAGAGCTTTCAATAAAAGCAGGTGTTGCAAGACGGCAGTCAAACGTTAATATAATTACAGCAAGGGAAGGTGCGAAAAGTTTCGATGGTATTTCAGCAAACACTTTGCTTATCTAATTTGCTACCGTCATCAATATATGGCATAGCGAAGCTAATTTGATCAAGAATACTTTGTGATCGAATTCCCTCGTCTATTTTCTGATCGCATCGGACAAGGTGACAGAACTAAATACACCTCCGGTAAAAAATGGCGTTCCGAATAGCAATAAACGCGCCAAATCTGTCTAAATGGGGTGCTAGAATAGTGTTACGATTTGCCCTGCTAGCAGATTTCAGATGAAAAAGTGAGTTATATTTCGACAGACAATTATTTAAACAGACAGAAAATTGAACAATAATGTAACGATTAAGCGTAAAAAATGGCGAGGAAAGGAAATCAAAACAAATCTGTTTCTCACCTTTTTCTGAGATGTCGTCAGATGCTGGTCTTTTCACGCTCAGTCGATGGTCCCTGAAAGAAGAACTATTGAAATTTAATGCATTTCGAAAACAAAACAATCTGAAATCGACTTCAAGATATATAAAAAAGTGAGAACTAATAAAATTGTAGATTCAAGTCGAAGTATTCTGCTTAACTGGTGATTTTGAGTTTTTCCATGAGTGTGTAGTGATTTTGAGTCATGATTTGATATTCCATATCCTTTCTTTGCATTATATTATATTAATCAAAATGATTAAGTAGCAAGCTTTATTTACATTATGCTCAAATTTTAATTTTTGACACTTTTAAATTAAAAAAAAACAAATATATAGTTTTGCTTTAATAGAATAGCAACTCACCTCCGACCCATTCCATTGTCTCTAAACCCTTTAGCGAAAGGATTGTAGTCAATTTTCAACTGTGTGATCTGTAAAAGAAAAACAAATGATATAAAATATTATGCTAGCACGTTTAAGTAGTTATACAAATACATTTTTGAGTTATGATAATAAAAAAAATATTTCAGAATTATTTAAGATTGCATTTGCGTCCCATTCATATTTTTTTTACGTCGGTTATACTTCATGTTCAGCAAATCTAGTCAAAGTTATCAAATAGGTTGAGAATTTTTATTAAAGGGTAAACAAATTTAAAGACTCATTACCTGTTCGTTCTGATAAGCTGTCACTGCAATGAAGGTTGTCTCTTCAAAGGCATAGGTGTTGAATGAGTTCCATCTCATGGTGAAAATGTCGTTTGCTTGGACTATGTGAACACGTGGTTGGTACTTGTGCATGGAATTTAGGATGATCTGCAATATAAAGGATGTTGATAAAAATTATGAAATGTCGTAAGAATACAAAATAAAAATCTCAAAATTATAAATTATAAAAAAGCTCAAAAGATATATAACAACCGAAAGGCCCCCGAACTTCTGTGAAAATTCATTTCTTCTCGGTTAAGAGAAAAACAATAAGAACAGAGACACTATAAATTGTATAGTTAATAACAACAAGAGTCCAGACTTTTGTTACTTTCTTTTTAAATATTCATGAAGTTTGGATTGTAAATGATTTATGTACATGTTACGCAAAATAACGTCAAACTAATGACAAAATAGTTCCCTTCGGAACAACATAACATACATCTTATTTCATTTATTGTCTGTTTTCGTACCTATACCCGTCAACATTTTACCACAGCAATATATCTGAAATTCGCAAACCAAATATGAATCTACATTTAATAGAAATTTTATGTTCTTTTTTGCGGGTACGGTGATATCCGTTTCAAGGAAAATTGGTCATAAATTGGATGAAAAACATGTAAATCTGTCCAGAAGAAAATTAGATTTCATCACTTGATAATAGTTGTTTTGTTATATTTGTAATTAGTAAAACACACGTTCTTTGTACTTTTTTATAACCCATCTGTTCACAACATTCGTTTATAGTATGTTTCCAGCTAGGGTCGTTTTGAACTTTTTGTTTCACGAGGAATCGGACAAAACTGATCTGTTACATCAGAAGATGTTCATTTCAATTATAAATGGTTTTTGAAATTAAATATCTGATCAAAAATTTAATTAAGACACAATTAGCCATTTTCTCAATAGCTGTTAGATTCTTATCGGAAGCTATCTGTGTTGTTCGATAGCCTCTTTTTAGACCGCTAAATGGCGTAAAAGATTTGATAAATGATAAGGCAATTAAAACCAATTAAGTTGTTCAGAATGAAAGTGCCGGGGTGGGATAAAAGTGTAAAACGATTCTGATCCTATCCTGATAATAAAAGAAACAAAATCAGAAAATCAGAAATTGAGATATTTCAATCTCCAATAAATAAACATTTTTCATGGAAAATAGATGTCCATTTCGGGCATTATTGAGTGGTTTCTTAATAATTTACGACAGAGTAAAAACAAAGATCCGTGTGTTGTTTATATGAAACCCCCTTTCAGCTATAACAAATTCCTTTGGGAACTAAAATCTATTAGCTAGTAGCGTTCCTTTCATGCGCTTAATACATGCAATTACAAAAAGTGATCTTCTAACATAAATCGCGACCCCATAGGGACCAGAGGAAATCAACAACTACTCTATGATGAAGCGAAAAACAGATATTTCCTTTAAACGTTATTCACCAATTTGTAAAACTTTGAATAGAAATATGATAATTATAAAAGAATTCGTGGCAATTTGTTTCTTATTCACGAGAAGTTCCTCGCGTTCTTTGACTTGCTAATAAATTTTTCCATCTTTTTCAATTACGTATGCGACATTGATAGATTTCGTATCTTAAATGCCTTTGTTTTAATGAATTTGAACATGTAAAGTTTCGCTACAGAAATAAGTAATTGAGCTATGCTATTTCAATTTTGACAGAACTAACGTAAAAAACTAAGAAATATATAATCCGACTGCTCATGAATTATTTTAAGGAGAATAATCACTTTTATTAAATAAATAAATAAATAAATAAATAAATAAATAAATAAATAAATAAATAAATAAATAAATAAATAAATAAATAAATAAATAAAAATAAATAAATAAATAAATAAATAAATAAACTTACATGTCCATTTTGATCAAGGTTGTTGTTGGTCAGTTTGAGTTTATGGAACGTAAGCGGCTGTTTCATCCAGTGGGAACCGGAAGCTGGAGAGTCTGGGTGGATGTACAGTCTCCCAGGCATGTGTGGTTCTGCTTTACCGGTGACGACCCATTCTGAGTTGTGGTACTTGTAGCGGCAGTCATCCACGGGTACGATGTCAACCAATAAAATATACTTTGAGTGAGGGTCTAGACCTTCCATGGCAACTTTGAGTGTTGGAAACATACGCCTGAAAAAAATGAATCAACATTTAAATGTTTTCAAAAAGATTTTTCCAACATTTTTAAAAATAATAATAACCATGATAACGATACATAAACTTTTTATTTTCATTCACACTCTTTGTATCTGTTAAAGACGGGAAAACGTCACATTAATGCAACATTTGTAAGTATCAATATTTATTCATGAAATAAATACATTGATTTATTAATAATTTTGATTCAAGCAATATTTAATTAAAAATGTTTAAAATTAATACATTGTATTTAACATTAATTTTTCAACTTTCCGAGGACCTAAATATCCTCAACAATATGGAATGTTTGAAGTCAATAGGATTAACAAATTGGACTAATATTTTTATTTGTAAGTGTGATTTTTATGTAACTGCTTGTAAGTGTCATCACTTTTTAAAAAGATCTTATCTACAAAACAATATTACACGTAACCTGATTCAATAAACACCTTGCATAAATATATTATTTCTATAAAAACAAATTCTATTGTGGTGTAGGGCTGAAGTGTTTTGTTGACGTTACTTGCGGCCCCCGGTAAAGGACGATAATTCCTTCAAGTATGCTTCTGCAGAAAGGAAAAGGTGTTATAACGACTTGTTCAAATTATCAAGGACTCTTGTGGTGGGAAATTTGATTTTCTAATTGAATTAAGGTGATAAATTTGTCGAATGAAAAGACATACTTTTCCATCACAATACAAGACATTTGACCTTAGTTAGTACTTAATTAAGTGACGATTTTGTCAATTGGCAATTACGTACTTTCTATAGTATTTATTAAAATGCAAAGGGTTATGAGTCTTTGATCCAAACATAAGTGGTTGTTGACCCCTTCCCTGAGTGAAAATTAACACCATTTAACCTGCTGGATATATTATCAAAAAAAAAGACTTCTGTTTTGGCCTTTAACACGTAAAATTGCATATTAAAAACAATTACATTGCATTAATATAATATAATTATCAAGGGGACAATAAAATAGAAAAAGCAAAATTTTAAACAAACATAGAAACCCTTTGTTGACGTACAAATAAAGGCATTTTCAATAATATGCACATGGTGAAGCGAATGACCATAATATTAGATATCAAAACAAACTACACCAACAAAAAATTTAATTCCACTAATTGGACAAAGATAAATCTTTCAAAAGACAGGAAAAGAAAAGGACTTATTCCGGTGAAAATCAACACCATTTTAACTGGCGCTGTAGGGATCAAAACAAATTGGTGGACAAAATGTAACTTGACGCAATTCTGAAAATACCGCTGAGGTCGCGTGCGGCAGATGGACTATAATACTACCAGTCAAATTGCTGGATTTAAGCCCCGAATAAGGCAACAGCTGACAGCGAATTTGAAGAAGCGGTCATCTTTTATAATAGTTAATTAGAAGCCAAATCTTGTTGTCTTCACACTTTCAATTTCAAATATTCACCTTTCAATAATTTTAGCGGATTACAAATAAATTATTTAGAAATTTTGGTGTTACATTTCGTAAGTTGCAAAAAGACTTGCCCTGTCTGGCGCGTGTCATGCTAACTTGGGGGCACTCCAAACAAAATAAATAAAATTTGAAAAGTAAAGAAAAACTATTTTTGACAGAAGAGTACGCCTAAACAAGACTGAAAAACACGAATATTTTCAATTAACAGTCTGTAAATTATCCTCTATTGATAATAACTTCTGATTAATTAATTTCTGCGGAACATTAGTGGGCGGGATCAGACTTTTTGTCTCCTAAGAAAAAATCTTTCCTTTATAGAATTTATAGAAATTTTTACCTATTGTCATAGAAAAAGATCTAATTATCTATGCTGACGCAATACGACAAATATAAGCAATTTGTTTTATTTTTATTTAAGATTTCGTTTCTATTGATCGAAAATAAAAAAGAGATTGGGTTGCAGAAGAGGTGTGATAATCTTTGAAACTTGATTGGTCAAATTAAATCTGTTTTTCAATTTCGTAAAGTGATATTGAAATTGGATTATCTGTTTTCATGATGTTACTCGTGAATTTAGCTTATGTCTTTTATTCATTATCAATTTTTTTTTTAAATTTCTGAGATCTTCAATAAAGGTTTTTGCTTCTGCTGATAAATCTAAATTGTAATTATTCAAACTGATGGAATTATTTAAAATAATTTATACCTATGAAAAACATAATAATTAATATGTTGTAATAACAAATAAAAATAAATACAAAAAATGAATTTTTCCCACACTGGTCAAAAATAATTCATGAAGCGATAAATACAGAATATAAGCATGCATTGTGCATCAATCATGGATTAAAATAGGTCACAGCGACATATACTGTCAACTGTTAATCTTTTATTTACAATATCAATAGAAAACAAACTTGTAAATAATAACGCAGGCCGATTATTAATTCTCAAAAGTCGGATTATATGTTTAGACAATTGGTGTTAATATTTCTATTGTAAAAGCCGACCTTTTTGTTTACAATTAATGATTGACACATAATTTCACTACCGTGGGAAAATTCATACTTCTTTACAAGAGAAAAATAAAACAATCGTCAAAAAAGTTGTAATTTCTTTTTAATTGTCCTGTAATTACTTTGAAGATTTTGATATTTAATAACTTATGATAATAAAAGTTTATACAACCATTTGCGTGCTATAATTTAACATTTTCATTTTTCTATACAGAATTGGTGGAAAAACATCCCAAGTTTAGTATATTATTCGTCGCTTTATTCAAGACTTTCTTATTTTTCTCTAAAAAAGCTGGATTCTACTTTTGTCGGTGTATAGAAAAATGTGCACATTGGCAATTCACATGCTTTTAATTTAAGACAAATAAATAAATAAGTATTCTTACCTTCCGGTTTTTGTGATGATCATTTCTGTGCCGATGTTATGGAACTTTTGCCAGAGGTCACGGTTTTCCAAGGTAATTTTGATGTTCTTATCTGAAGTCTCATTCTGTCCTGGTCCTCCCAACATACGCTTGTGGTCCGAGTGGGAGCCGAGTGAGGGATAACCACCAAACTGTTGGCTCTGGCCTGAATTATAAATAAAAAAGTTTTAAGTTATGTGATAAACATAGTATAATATAATTTGCAACTAGAAGAGAGAGGTTAAAATATTAAAACTACATACATTTTTTCTTAATTAATATAAAGCACATTCGTGATTAAAATTATTTGATTGAATTTGATTGCATAGATCTCTTCGAAATTCATTTCTTAGAAAACATCTCATATTTGCATTTATACTTTTAAATATTGTCGACTCGTAAATACTGACAATTGTTGGTATCCTTTATTGCAGTAGAGATTTTTATCGAAATCTGTAGTTTTACAGCCAACGAACGTTGAACTATTTTAATATACGAAAAGATTTTTAACAGTCTTATACCTTGTTAAATAAAACCAATGTATTGTTACTTTAACTACGTCGTAACTTTCAAACATAAACTAGTTATTATGGTATTTTAATACAAGATTGTCAAATTATAGCCTTCTTGAGTTTAAACCTTAGCTATAGAATTAAACTTAAAAGTGAACAATATATTCACAATTTCCTTCTAAATAAGACAGAAAATTAATACTATTCACAACAGTTGAAATGGAAACAATAATTTGTGTATCACCTTCAGATATATAAAGTACTTAAAATTTATTTGATGGTTTATTTTGTTGTGAATTTATTCATCTTCTGAATGTAATTTCAAATAACAAATTTATGCAATAAACTTTTCTTAGTTTGTTTTAAATTACCGATAAAATATGTTTTGAATGTTAACTGTGACCAATAGATATATATTAGTTCCAATTTTTTATCAATCATATATGTTAGGTACATTAATTTGAAATTGCAGTAAAAGTAGAAAAAAAAACCACATCTAAAAATAACTTATTATTTTAAAAATCAAAAGTATCCCTATTATTTTTATTTCATTTTTTATTACATGTCATGACATGGTTAATCATGTAAATAATATGAAGATGTTTGTTTATAAATTGTTACAAAAACAAAGACTCGTCTTGTGGTGAAAGTGTTCAGACCTTGGTTTTGATAACAATTACTCTCGTCTGCAGGCCACGTGCGGAGCAGACGACGAGTAGTTTGATACGAGCTTATTATTACTTTAATTACTAATTACAACTTCACTTTCTCCAACACCAGCACATACTTAATTATTTGTAAAATATAACTCATAATTAAGTAAATGATTAATAACATTATTTAGTGTAAATTATGTGAAATAAACACATCTGAAAATTAAATATATTTATAAAGTACGTTAAAATGTAGAAATGCTATCAATAAAATAAAAGGAAACTGACAAAATTATTCTTTTTATGTATATCCTCAAACTCCTGTTACATTTGCTATATGATTTAAATATAGCATAATTAATATTTGATGAAAACCACAGGAAAGTTACCAAATTTTGCTCGAAAATGATTGAAATTGATTTCTGAAAGATGTGCGACTGACATCTTTTGTATTTCTCTATTAAAGACTGTAAGATAATTCAAAGAGTGAAATATAAAACCTGTCAACTCCAAAATTCCAATTATTTATTATGTATAAATTCCAATAATTTTAACGAAATATCGTTAATTCATCTTAAATTTCGTGCACATATTTGTATTGATTTAAAGCGTTCCCGACAGTTCGAACTGCAGTTATTAACACACATAAAAGTCTCGAAATATGAAAACATTTAAGCATATATATTTTGCGTAATACGATCCCGTTAGTTGTTTAAATATATCATTCTAGGATTGAAAATCTACATTATATTTTACTTAACAATTCAAGTCAATTTTGTCCTATTTCTTACTTTTTTCTTTCGTTAATTTTAATAATTTGCATATTAATACTTACTAGAAAGACCCATTGGGTCATGGGCTGGATGCACTGGAAATCCAAAAGAAAATGCTTGTGGCGATGGCATAAGTCCAGGGTGGCCAAGAGGAAAGTGTCTGGCTCGCTGGCTCATGAAGTCGTCCTCGTACATACTGGATGGTGCTGCTGAAGTCGGTGTAGAGTAGTGGTTACCCTGTAACAGGAGCATACTGTAGTAACACAAAAGTCCAAGTATAAAGATTCACAAGTCTTGTAAAATATCCGTATCTCCACACTAAATAGTTTTCTCAAGTTTGGTGAAGTTGCTTGCACCTTAGTCGAAAACAGAATACTTGAAGTTGTGTCGATCTGTCCTTAATATTGGATTTGAATGTTTTTCTAAGCATCCCAGAATTACTTATTTCGTTGATAGTTTGAGTAGTCCCTTTGTTCTTTTTGAAATGTTTTGTCAATCAGCTGTCAATCACCCAGTAAGGTGCAATTATCGTCTGCGCAAAAGGTAAAAATTGTCATTTCTAATTTACCTGTTGGCTTGGACAATTAGTAGGCGTGGCCAAGCTACCCCATCAAGTTTTGAGTACTTGGAGAAAACATACACGCTTTCAAAAACGATTTTCTAATTAATCATAACTACTTTTTAAATCTTTCATTTGTTTTTATAATTCAAAGAAAAAAATTAATCAAAATAAATCATTTTGAATTTTGAGTACAAAATGGCATTTTGAGAAAATGTAAAATTGTTATCATTTTATATTTTCTATAATTATTCTAAATGACAGTTTTATACAATAATAAAACTAAATAAATATAAATATCTATATCTAACTAAAAAATACCAGATTTTTTACAAATTATTCACCATACAAATATTGATATTACCTTTGGAATCTTCAGCTATTTCTGACAACACAATTTTCACACTTTAAAACGAATTAACTCTCCTTTCTTCAAACTTGTAAAAATTTCCAGTTGAAAAGTGCGAACCTTCAAACAATAGAAGAGTAAATTTTAACAAATTTAAATACACTTTTCTGAGAAGATTTTCCTTCAGAGTGACTATTGCTTATCAAATTTAACAATCTCGGTGCTAAAGCTTTCCGATAAGTCAAACACGGTGTTTTGTTCCGCATTGTTTCTGGCTCCGCCTCCGTCTTTCCAGAATCGGTAATATATGACAACCATCGGAACATCCCTGATGCTGACGGAAAGGCTCCTTTCAATAACTGTCATTCCGTTTGGAATACACATTTAAAATTTTGTGTTTGTGTTCCGATGATCTACTCTTTAGTTTATTTATTGGGTCGTGGTTTTTTTTTATGTAATATAACTGGAAATGATGAAAAACAAAACTGTATGTGCTATTTTCATATTCTTTATTTCATAAAATATAAAAAAAATCATTCACTAGTTTTTTTTTGCCGAACACTTTTCATAGTTGGAGAATATGCAATCTACAATGCGCATATTTATTTAAACGTATTTTTATGTATATTCCTTTTACACAATTTGTTGAAGGCTGTACAATTCGAGATCGCAAACTCTATGAAAATATGGCATTCCAAATAAAAAGAAAAGAAAAAAATGTAGACGAGCAATATGCTATTGATTTCATAAGTAAAGCTGTCATAGTACAATGTTTATTAAATACATTTTTAGAAACAGTGATATATATTTTTTCTTTCATCTTGTATTTTTCACTTAATATATGTAGTGAAGTGAATTTTGATTTTGTAATATATCCCGTTTATATGGTAGTTTAAAATGTAATTTATGAAAAATCACATCTGAAGTATAATATACGTAACATTTCGTTTAAATAGAATATTATTATTTTTATTTGCTACTTTTATTACGGATATTCGGAAAAGTGTCTCCTTTCCAAATGTGTATCATGGACAACCCCTTGTTAACAAATTATCGTCAAAGACTCGAACAGGCGAGATCTCTCACCTGATACAGACTTATTTCCGCTTTTTAGTCAAATTTCCGCGGGGGACGATGTTTATCTATATTTTTGTTGATAGGTAACGGGTAAAATTATCAATAAAGATAAAAAGATTTGCTTGTTGATTTTGTTAAATAAATTAAAAACAAATTAGATTATTTTAATAATTTTGATTGATAAAAGGCATCGTGTAAAATATATTATAACTATACTGCCTTGGAATCTGTAAGGAAAATTTAGATAATAGTGGCTACTATTGCAAAGAGATAAAATGGCAATCGGACACAAAATATTAATATATAAAATCTTGATTAGAAACCCGGGATAAACTAAGTTTTAACCAAACCGAATTTGCAATTGCGTTAAAAACGAACACATTTTGTAATATCAAACTAGTCTTTAAATTCAGGAAGCCGTTTCCGAAGAAGTTAAGAATAATTCAGAAATCATTTCTTAAATCGCTGTAGACGCAAGATTAATTATATCTGATTGGGATACAAATTACGAATATAAATTCTAAGAATGCAACATTCTCTATTCACTGGGCCGTTTTATTATATTCAACACTGAAGTGAGGGGGGCTGCAAAGCTGCATAGCTTTCTAGTTCACCTTAATATGAGGGTCTTGATTGAAAAGGTGCTGTGTCTTCTCTTATGTCTTCTTTTATTTTTAGACCATTTTCCTCTATCATTTGTTGATTCGTGTTGCCAATTAAACTCTTCCTCTATTTTTGGCCCATTTTTCTCTTTTCATTTTTTTTCCAGTCCATTGTTTTCTATTCTGTAAATCCCACCAAGACCTGCAAATTCACTTGTTATGTATCTATGCATTTGGTACATGAATACAAATGCTGTTATGACTTTTCTTATTGAGCAGTTAAAAAATGAACAAACCCTAACATATTACTTACCATAAAATTTAAGGCAATTTCTTGACCAAAAATGAGCAATTAAAAACCAATCAGTCTTTTTATTTCCCTTTAAAGATGGGAACTTTATTTCAATGGAGTCAAGTTGTCTTAATGCTTATTACATCTGGAAACCTGCTTTAAAATCCGACCACTATGGCTTTAAATGTCAATTTTAACGTTAATTTTACGAGTAAATCTTTAGTCAAATTTAAGCTTTGATCACTTTGAAAGGAGGTTTAAAACTGAACTTAGTCCGTTTAAGGATAATTTCATTACAACCCGGAAATAACAAGGGTGGTCAATTGTCCATTTTTATTTAAATACTGATCAATTTATACAGGAGTGTTCTGGCCGTCATGTGAAAATATTATTACTATTTAAACGAAGGAGACAGGAACTTTTGTTCTAAGGACAGTTTTAGAAATTATGACCTGGAAAATCACAGCCTCAAAACACTACTTCAAACTTACGAGGCAAAACACCTCGAAATATTTGCTCAAGTTTTAATTTAGTCTAATATCACACGAATAACACAGATGATGGGGTATACGGCAAAAAAGATAACAACCAATAATACAGGCAGAAAACTCGGACACTAAGGTCTGACATCAGTAAAGCGACACCTTTATTTAATTCCGAGAAACACGAGACACGCTAAGGGGTGCTTCAGGAATACTAGCCTTGGACCCTGACCAAATCTATGCTTCTCGTCGGTAGCAAGCCAGTATCACAGGCTACCTGTATACAGTTATACGCAAAGAAATTAGAAATGTTGTAATTAGTTTAAACTATTGAGAACATTTTTTTTCATAATAAATCACAAGAAACCAATATCTATACAGCAATAAAAAAAATATCAAAATATATCTTCAGTTTTTCGACGCTTATCATTTACTAGGGCGTATATCTTCCTCCCCCTTATTCCATCCCTGTCTTCCCTTTTTTGGTATTGATCCTCCAATACATATAATTCCTTGCCTGATTGCAAAACATGTTCTGTCGTCATCACCACCTCGGGTACCAGTTTTATCATTGATATAACCTCAGAATTAACAAGTTTGCCTTTTACTAATTAATTATCATACAGATCTTTCAACACTTTGATATCTAAATATCGAAACTTGATGAAAAATGGAGATAAATATATCAATAGTTCGTTGTTAATTTGTGATTTGTATCAAGATAATAAGATGTTCTTTGGTGTACTTGCATACTAAATGAGTTGATATGAATCGACTCACAAATATCGTTGCACTATAATATAAAAACAAAGGATATGGGGTATCCATTCATGACACAAAATCAGTATATGCACAGCAAAAAAACACACAAAAGCAAAGGAACAGCGCTTTTATTGCAGTTCTACATCTGCTGCTATGCTTGCTTATCAATTTTTGGAGATATTTATATATCATTTTGAAACAAAGACAATATTGGAGCGTGTGGGTGTGTGTGTGTGTGTTTGAGAGAGAGAGAGAGAGAGAGAGAGAGAGAGCGAGAGAGCGAGAGAGTTCATAAAAGAGAATTATAGACTCGGGTGAAAATGTCTATCAAAACTAAGTTCAAGATAGCACAATGTCAACCCATGATTTTGTTTTTGTAGTTTTAAGAACTGAAATACATATATTGATAAATATGTATATACATAGAGTGTATTTCTAGATCATTTGCATGATTTTTGATGCTAATAGGAATGTCTAGAGGGATGATCCTCTAGACGTCTGGGTTGAGAATTATAATTCTTAATTCATTTAGTAATTCTTCAAAATATAATATCATCAATTTACCCTTTTATATCCCAGTTAGTAAAATTTCACAAATTTAGCCGCGGTTACCTTTTATGTTATAATTAAAGAAAGTACAGCTCGTTAACGTTCTTACGTTAATCCGAGATAGTGGACACGAGTCCGAGGTAGACGGACAAATACTCGTTAGTCTTGTTCTCGGTTGTCTTACTGCATTTACCTTGATTACGATTTTTGTAAAAACATGGCCAGTCTTGCTTATTAAATTATTATACATTATTAATTGGATTAAAACAACAAAATCAAAGTCAGAGGAAATAGTACTTAAAACAATTGTCATACGTGTAAAATTGCTCGCTTTTATTTTTCAAATTTGAGTAGATTGGTTTTTTGTTATGAAAATTTAATATAGTAAAGAAGCCACACATCTGTCTGCCAGAGTTTATCTTACCATTTTAGTAAAGAGAAACTTAAAATGCTGTCAAAACATCCCTTCAAATCATTTTCCTTTTTTCAAACATTAAGACAGAAAATATTAAAAAAATCTTAACATAAAAAAAAAGAGAAAAAAGAAATAAAAGCTATAAATTAATAAAAAAGTTATAATAGAAATAATTAAATTATTTACATAAACGATTGAAACAACGAAAATAAAAGATACACGTTCATCGTTCGATAAAATGATTACCAGATTACAGAGAGTAATATTTGACAGAGAATATAAAAGACCATTTGTTTGCACATAATAGAAAAAAGAGGTTGGAGTTTGATACAGTTCCCTAATTCTTTCTTATATTGT